TTCCTTTCAAAAGTAATGCAACAGTGGCAGACGAACATTGTTTTAGAAATGACGAAATAGGCTCCACAATTCTGACCTTAACTGATGATTCTGATAAATTGGGTTTTGCGATTCCATCTTGTTTTAAAACTCTAAAACGGTTTTACCGATTTATGATACCATCAACTTTTCAGTCATTTGTTGCCTTTGTCTTATATGCTCCACACTGTATACCTTAGTGAACAGGTATGTGTTTGACTTTATTGAATTTTTAACCAAAAATTAAATACTCACATACATGTAAATAACAATGTATATTTACCAACAACCCTCCATGTTTGACATTCAAAGTACAATTTTCCTCCTTGGCTTCTTATTGAAATTGTGTTGTGTTTTGTTAGACTGTTGTAAATAACATAATTTACTTGTTAAACTAATACCAAAAAACAAGTAGGAAATTATAGTCTGGCATGACCGACCATATGATATCCTACTCCAAAGGCCTCAGTAAGGACTGCATCTTATAATTGTCCGTTTCTATCTGAATTTATTAGCTTAATAGATACACCATCAACTTTTACAAAAATTAATCTTTGTAAAAGAACTAAAAAATTGTATCGAATAAATTTTACTTTCTAACTTGTAGTTTGATCACAAAGTTTCCTTGGACATGCATGAAGGCTAACCGGATGGAGGAATATGTTTTTTTTTTCCAAGTTTGAACACTATTTTAAGCTGTTAAGTGAACTTTAAAGGAGCTTTTTCAACCCATATTATTAGCGTTACAAATATTAGCATAAACGCACAATGTATACCTCGTAATAGAGGTACATATACTATACACAAACACTTTTCTTTTACAGGGTTAACTGATTTTTACATATAAAATAAATACAAACAAGTAAGAGTGTTATATTCGGCTGTGCCGAATCTTGTATACCCACCATTAAATCATTGCCAAAAAGGAATGCTTCCTTATAAATAAACTTTGATATTTAAGAATCGATGCTTTTGTTATTATCAAAACAATTTTCTCATTTATTACATCTATGTATAGAGAAATTTTTGTCGAATTTTGTCGCTATACTTGCATTTTTAAGGTAGTAAAAAGCGTAAAAGTTATTATCTGAGAGAACCTTTTTTAGGGTGGACGTTTGGTCAATTATGTATCGATCCTCGTCAAATTTTCTGGAACGATTTTAGTTTAGGCTAGTAATGAGCGTTAAAGCCATTTTCTGAAGGGGACCTTATATGGGGGGTAGGATCAATTATGGACCGATCGTTATGAAATTTTACAAAGCGATTTAGGTTTCTATAGAATAAGTTCATGTCGAATTTCATCGCTATAGATTCTTCTTTTAAACAGTTATGAGCATTAAAGTCATTTTCTGAAGAGGACCTTATATGGGAGGTAGGGTCAATTATGGACTGATCCTTATAAAATTGTACAATGATACTAAAGTTTCTATAAAGTATGTTCGTGTCGAATTTCATCGCTATAGATGCTTATTTTAGACAGCTGTGAGGGTTAAAGTCTTTTTCTGAGGGGGACCTTATATGGGGGGTAGGGTCAATTATGTACCGATGCTTATAAAATCTTACAAAGCGAGTTTGGTTTCTATAGAATATGTTCATGTCGAATTTCATCGCTATAGATGCTTCTTTTAGTCAGTTATGAGCGTTAATGACATTTTCTGAGGGGGACCTTATATGGGGGATAGGGTCAATTATGGACCGATCCTTATAAAATTTTACAATGATATTAAGATTCCTATAAAATATGTTTATGTCGCATTTCATCGCTATAGCTGCTTCTTTTAGTCAGTTATGAGCGTTAATGTCATTTTCTGAGGGGGACCTTATATGGGGGATAGGGTCAATTATGGACCGATCCTTATAAAATTTTACAATGATATTAAGATTCCTATAAGATATGTTTATGTCGAATTTCATTGCTATAGATGTTTCTTTTAGTCAGTTATGAGCGTTAAAGTCATTTTCTGAAGGGTACCTTACATGGGGGCGAGGCGAAATCGTGGACCGATATTACTCATTTTCAATACCAAACAAACTGCATCGAAATAAAATATTTCTGAAAATTTGTGCTCGCTAGCTGCTTCCGTTTGGACTCTATCGGGTTTTCAACAGACGGACAGACGGACGGACATGGCTAGATCGTTATAGAATTTAATAAGGATCCAGAATATATATACTTTTATGGGTCTTAGATGAATATTTTGATGTGTTACAAATGGAATGTCAAAAACAATATACCCCCCATCTTTTTTGATGGTGGGTATAAAAACCCTTTGGTATATAGGACGTATTTAGTTACACATGTTGGTGTCTATGTTTTACATTTAAGTGTTTATATACAAAATTGTGTGTAAATACTTATGCATGTAAATTAGACCGACTCCCAAAAAATCGACTTTCCATTTTTAAGTGAAAAAATAAAAGTAAATTTTCTGAGCAAACTGGGGGCCCTAGCATAAAAAGGATTAAAATCTGCGATTACTTTTTGAGTAAAAACATAAAAGTCTATTTTCTCGATAAACTAGAGGCCCTATGACAAAAGGATTAAAATTTGTGATCAATTTAATTTCCCACAAAAAGTTTATTTTAAAGTAAAAACATAAAAGTCAATGTTCTATCTAAATTAGAGGACCTTGGTCAAAAAGGAGTTAAATCTGTGATCACCTTTTTTTCCCTCCAAAAATTGATATTTGGGAAAAAAAATGAAATCTGTGTCCATTTTTATTTCCATTTAAAAGTCAATTTTAGATTAAAACATAAAAGTAAATTTTGTAGCCAATCTAGATGGTTTGTGGCAAAAAGGATTAAAATCCGTGATCATTTCTATTTCTACCAAAAATCGATGTTTTTGTGAAAACATAGGAATCTATTTTCTGGCCAAACTAGAGGCTCTAGGGCAAAATGGATTAAAATCTGTGATCACTATTATTTCCCATAAAAATCTATTTTTGATGAAAACATAAAAGTCCAATTTCTGTCTAAACTAGAGGACCTCGGGAAATTTGTTCATAAAAGACGGAATAGTTTAGTTATCGTTAAAAATAGTCGGTTTTAGTAAAAAAAAATTTATTATATTTAGGTATTAAGTTTTATATAAATTCCCTGGAAATCCGGAAAATGAAATTTTTAATTCCTTTTTCCCGGGAAATTTAAAAGTCCGGTAATTCCTAAACTGTAATGTTCAGACGGATAACAATACACGGATTTGCTTTCCGTACAAAGTGAGTCGGTCTAATGTTTATACTATATTGATCTAAAAAAATTCATGTCGTTTACAATAAGCACAATGAAGTAGAGTAGATTTTTTTCCGCCGTTTTTTTTTTTTAATACGTTATTAAGTACGACGCCTGTTAGCGTTTGCAATTTGATGTGATTTTTTTGTTTTGCTATTATTGTTGTTTTTCTAATATTATTTTTATTAAACAAAATAAATAAAATACATCAACAAATTGCTGTAGGTGGTTAGTTAGTATGGATGTATGTTTATTTTAATTTTTTCATTTTTCCAGTTTATTTATGCAAAACTAATTCCATTGAAGTGGCTGGTTGTGCATTATTACTTTACATTTTTATTACCAGTTTCCGGTAGACATTCTCTCACACACATTTATTACTATGCACACACAAAAACCCCTACCCATCCATACATATCTTTAGCTAAAGTAGTTAGTTTGTATGTATGTGTTTTTTTAGTATGTACTTTACAGTACTTAGGAATGCACTTAATTTATTTTTTCTTTTTTATTATTATTTTTTTTTTACTTAAGTATTTTAAATAATATAAATTCCTGTATTTGATGTTATGTAAAATGTTTTTTAATTGAAATTTTACAATGTGTAAAATTTAAATATATGTACAATGTAATTAGATATTATTAAAATAGATTTTTAGCTTTGAAAATTAAAACTTAAGATTATCCTAAGTTTTCATTTTTGAAATTGTTTCCAATTAAATAAATTTGCACTAGAATCTTGGCCATAATATTTTTTAATAGAATAGTAATAGACATACAGGATAACGGGCACAGCTATACAAAATTGGACGTGTGGATTCAGACGAATGTACTTTCTTTGCCACTATCAGGCAATCGTCGAAGTTAAATACAAATATCTAGGGACTGATACTATTCCAGATATAACATTGCTCATGAACACTTATTGGAAAATTATTAGGAATTACGTGCACGAAACTGAGTTTCTGAACATTGAAAGATAATACACTCAGTTAACACAATGTTCTTTTTACCGACAAAAATTTTCAATGAAAAGGAGAGTACAACAGGCCTGATAGTGGCCTAGTTGTATTTCTTCGAATTTGATGTAATATATATCCTCCTAACAACCAAACCTAACCCTAATTTAAAAAAAAATATATCACACTTTTATTGCAATTGATTTCCATAATTGATCTCAAGTCCCAATTATTCGGCATAATGTTTTCTTAGTTGAAACGCGGACCTTAAATAATTAAAAGGCATTTTGACCTTATAAAGTACATACATAATTATATACATAATTATATTTCAGTACGGTTCATGCCAATTTTCGACATTCCGATGGAAACGAAGATACTAAGTTCTCAGAAAAATTATAAAAGTTTAACCTTCAGCCCCAAAACTGTCCTAGAGATATGATCAATAAGATTATGCCCTAGCTTTATACATACACTCTTTACATCTAAGAGCCAATTTAGCAGAGATACATTTTATATACATATGTTATGTATGTGATATGATTCGCCTTCAGACTATCCTAAGGTTTTGTGTTCATAGAATAATATAGTTTCTGTTTGTCTCTGCCCATATAATCTCTATATAATTTTTCTTGTCGCATGTATGTCCTTTATCTTATATTTATCCTAAGATGAACGCAGTTCAAATAACCGCTTTTTAGCTATTTTGTGGTAAATGAGCTATCACAACAATTCGAAATTTCGAAAAAAATTTTAGAATTAAATTTTGGATCTACTTAAAATTTAACTTACCTCATGTATTTTCAATCGTTAAAGTTGGTCTCGAGTTTATTGCAATTTATGAAGCTTTTAATTATTGTATAGTTAATAAACGTCCACTTGAAGTTAATAACATTTTTATTTAAATATTATTAATGTTTTCTATGCAAATATTTTTTTATTTTATCAGCGCATGAATAATTGTTGTTATTTTTATTTATATATTTTTAATTTTTTTTTTGTTTATATTTCAGCGAAATTGTAAACAATTTTTGCAACAAAAATATTGATAAATATTTATATATGTATAAATATTTTCAAATTGCATTTAGTAACAGTCACTTGTGCAAACAGAATTAAAGCAGCAGCTCCGTTGGCTGTAGTAGTTTCTAAAGCAGCATCACCAAACACAAGCAATGGAAAAAAATTGATAAGGATTATCGCTAGCTGGTCTTGCAGGGTCTTAACCTTAACTTGAGTATGTGCACAAAAACAAAACAGAGGGGATAAAAGCTTTGAAATTGCTCGCTCACATATGTATTTTTTATATACATACATATAAATAAAATAGTTGTTTATTTAGTTTTATACTCATGCTTTTATCAATCGTTTTTTTTTTTTTTATTTTAATATTTTGTTATTAAAAATACAAATTGTAGGAATTTTATTTCATTCTAATGAATTGTGTTTTGTTAATTAAATATTTTTACTTGTGAAGTTCAATATATTGGAGGGATTATGCTGATAATAATAAATAGAGAGTTCTTTACACTTTAAAAATTGTTATCAGTTTAGACTCATGAGCTTCTATATTAAAATTTTTAATTATGTTTGTTTGCAATAAATAAATGATGTTATGTTTTTTTATTCAAAAAACGGACAAGATAAATATGTATATTTTGCTGTAAGCTGATAATATACATATAAATTTTTATTTTTTTAATTGTCTTAATTTTTTTTAAATTATATTTTTTTCCAGTTCCATTTGTTGCTTATTTCACTAAAATTTTATTTGAATTTATTCTTATAAAATTGTTAAATTGTTCACCAAATATAACGAATTATTCTTATTTAGTGTTTTTTCTTTAGTTTCAGTAATCAAATATTTTGAGTTTACCGATTGAGCTCAAATTTCAAACTGATCTTAGTTGTGATCATACGCCCAAAGTCATTGCTTTTTTGAGCATTTATTATTTTTAATTTTTGTTTTTGTTAATTTCATTTCAGATGTCCAGTCATTGTAAGTACATACATTCAAGTCAGCCAGCATTTCATCATAATGCGCCCCCATATCATTTGGACTAATCAGTTGAATGTAGTCGTCAATCATACAGTAAGTGAATAAAAATAACAACAACAACAACTACAATATACTACAGTCGTAAAAATAATAATGTTCTAAGTGCACATTAGTTGTATGTGTGACCGAACGATGGACCACAGATCAGTATGTGAATTTTTCATTACATGTTTCTGTATTTATTTATGTCTGTAGGTGTATATGTGTGCATGCAGTATGAATCTATTTTGTTTAATAATTGAGTATAGTAGAGTCATACTATTCATGCACACTTTAATTTGATTGTGTCTACAACCTCTGAGTTCACCGAGATCACAGTTTCTATAGTTATAAAACCACATACTAAAAGAAATTAAGAAAACGATCAATTGATTCAATTAAAAAATGACCATACGGCCCCTGGTTTACATTAAAGTGGAAAGTCGCGGGTATTTGCAAATGGGCAAAGTGTTTGGAATGGTTAGAATATAGAAGATTTAAGAAAATCATCACAAAAATTGTAGTTGTTATAGATATAAATTAAAAAAAACAGCATATATATCGCTCGTAAAATATTATTTTCAGCAAAATCTTGGTACACTGAAACAATTTTGAGTGTCAAAAGTGTACACCAATTTCAGTAAACTGTACACATTCTTTTGTAGTTCCATATGTTAGCAAATATGACTTCTTGTTGCATCGTGTCACTACTTTCATTATTCCATCAATACTTAAATTGGTGCTAAGCCTCGTTCCTCACCCAGTGATTATGACCTTGACCCTTAAAATTCAAAAAAGCATCTAAGATTTCTCGACAATACCGAAAATTTCATAAACTGTATTTTGTAAACGAAATATGCAGAAGTTAACCAATAAACATTTTTGTTGTAGATCAGCTATACAAAGTTCAGAGATCAGCATGCATTGGGATAACAGGTGCTCTAAGAACTAGTCCTTCAGTAGCTCTGAACACTATATTGGGCATCCTACCTATAGATTTGGCCATATAATGACCATATCTGCTTGCAACGCAGCAAGGCTTAACTCATCCGGAAGTTGGAGATCAAGAACATATGAACACACTAAGATTTTAAGCCTATTACCTCCAGTCTTGAATCAACCATCCGACTATATTGCCCCACACACGTACTTTGATAGAGTTTTCAAAGTCAGAGTCCCTTCCATTAGCGAGTGGTGTAGAGGTAACTTACCGAGCGAATATACCACTAGAAAATTTTTGGCAGATGGTTATAAAATAAACTGCGGTGTTGGTTCTGGAGTCTTCTGTGAAGAATCTGGGGTATGTATAACTCACCGCCTTCGCAACTTCAGCAGTGTCTTTCAGGCTGAAATATTCGCGGCAACATAGGAATCTTTGTCGATAGTCAAGTGTCACTTCTCTTACTAAACTCTTATACTACCACTTCCCTATTAGTTAGACAGTGCAAGAAGGATCTGTAAAGGCTGGGTCGCCTGTCTGACATTACCCTTGTTTGGGTCCCTGCGCATAGGGACTACTATGGTAATGAACAAACAGATGAGCTTGCCAGAACGGGATCTGTTCTTGATATATCCGACGCCATTTCAGTACCAATTCCGTTAGGTTTTATCAAGACCAGTATCCTCAGATTTTTTCTTCAAAAGGCTGAAAATAGGTGGTATAACATAGATACATGTAAAGTGGCTAAGATATTGTGGCCCTCCTTCAATGAAGACACCGTATAAACTGAAGTAGACGGGACATATCGAGACTGATAGCGGTAATAACAGAACAATGAGTGATAGGAAGACATGCAAGTCGGCTTGTCGCCTTCAACGATCACTGTCGCAGTTGCAAAGAAAGGGAAAAGGAAGAAACGGTCTTTCATATTCTTTGTGAATGTCCAGCTCTGGCCGTAAAAAGAAACTGCTTCCTTGGCAGTTACTTCATATTTAACCTTGGTGAGATATCTGGGTCTAAGCTTAAAGATATCCTCAGATTGCTCACAGCTACAGGCTGGATCTAATACTATAATTACTACATCTGACGAGTGGAGTGGTCCGGTCAAAACGGAGTGTCTTCGACTCTACTTGACATTTCGCGTAGAGTGAACTACCACGTTAACCAACCAATCAATAAAAATATTAAATATCGATTTCAATCATTTTTATTTAGGATAAAAATAAGAAATTATCTGAAAGTTCTATTTACTAAAATTTTTTTGGATTGATAACATTTATATAAACAAACTACCTCTTAACCCCTACTAAAATGTCCTGTACTGTTTATCACAGCGCTGATGATGATGATGTTGACAAGTAAATTGTTGTTTGTCGCTAATGTCACATTGATAAAATACGTTGTTCTGTCATATTCTACTTTTGAAACGCATATATCTGAGTGTGTGTTCTTTTTCATGTATCATTAAAATACATGACCAACGTTCGAACAGTATGTTACATAGTTCTCGGTCTCTTACTAATATAAAAAAACAACAATGAAAACAGTTGCAAGATTAACACAAATGCACCACAAAATTGCAATTGTCTTGATCATTTCATTCAATCAGTAGTTAACAGCCTATTTGCAGCAGATGTTGCTTGTTTTTATTGTTTTTTCATACTCTCTCTCTCTTGCTATTGTATCTTTATTCTTCATATGGCTGTTTATTTGAGTGTCTTTTAGATTTTGATTACTGCTTTAAATTTATGGAGTGGAAAATGTTTTCATATACATACATACTTAGATACAATATTAATATAGTAGTGTGTACATATATGCGGGTTACGTGTGTATTATATTATTTATATTCTATTTTATTTTGCATTTCATTTGTTGTGTCAATTTGCTTCACTGTGTTTTATACTCATACAAATGAATGTGAATATAATATAAATTTATTTTTTTCCATTTAAAAATACTCAATTAAAAATTCTTAATATGAGTTGAATTTGTTGTTTGAATAACACTGAAGGATGAAATTTGAATTTAAATTTACTAAATGTAACATCGTGCTGAGATTAAGGTTCTTAAAAGATTTATTTCTAAATGTTTTTATACCCTCCACCACCATCAATGGTGATAGAAATGCTAAGTCGATTTAGCTATATCCGTCTGTCTGTCTGCGTAAAAGACACTCACGTTAAAACTGAGTAAAGCAAATCAATTAAATTCTCCGAAAATATTCATTATTGTCCTAAACAGTTTAGAATTGAAAATCAGCAAAATTGGTTGACAACGTAAAAATTTCATTCTACCTTGAAAAAAATTTAGTTTTTTTTTTTCTAATTCTCGAGTAATTTTTCAAAAACTACCGAAGGTAATTCGATGAATTCTGTCCCACGTTTTTTTTTTTTGCCAAACATGAACTATGTTCAAACTCAAAGCAATCGATCAAACATTTGAAATCGTATTACCAACGTAGATCTGTATAGATTCATAATTGGTCATAGCTCCCATATAAGGTCTCAAAATCACTCAATGCATATAACTAATTAAAAAATATAGATATTGAAATAATTTTTGACATAAATATGTATTCCAAATTCTATGAGGATCGTCCCCATGAATTCTCTATTCCGAAAATGCTATTGATATTCAGGTAACTATTGATACACGATAATAAAATTCAGTATTAATAACTAAATAGTGGTTAAATATCAAAAGGACCGAATTATGGGAAGCAAATTTTTAGTTTTAATAATCTTTTTTACTATATTACACTATTTTTACTATATGCACTATTCCGAAAACAGTATTGATGTTAATATAACTTTTGATGCACAATAGTAAAATCCAGTGTAATTCAATATTTATAATTATATAATGGTCAAATAACAAAAGGTCAGAATTAAAGGAGTAGGAATTATGGCACAAGCTTTGATGATTTCTTGCTTCTGTATACGAACTTTTAATTATTCTCCGCCCAAAACGCATTTTTTACAATTAATAATTTTTATTTTATTAAACATATTAAAAACCTAAAATTTTGAATTACACATATCATAAAAATGTTGTCATACATTAAAACATACACACTCATACATTAGGGTGGCTGCACAAAAAAAAAAATCTTAATTTTTTTTAACTAGTTTCATGTTTTATGTGCATATAATTTTTTTATATTAACGCTTTGAGTTAATATAAAAAAATTTGGCATTTATTTTACCTTTTTCCTAAAGATTATCATTGAAATGATTAATTTTATACAAATTTAGTTTTTAGACTGTAAAATCGACGCCATTATTCGGCACCATATTATATACAACTACATACATACTTAGGTACTTACATATAGTTGTATTAAATACATGAATGTTTGCTGGAAATGTTCTTTAATTTGAAAATTGTGGCATTAAGAATTCACATTAAAATAATTACAATGAAGTATGTATTTAAAGACCATAAGTGTAAAATGCTTTAATGCAATTACGAAAATGAAAGAAATAAAAAAAGAGAACACTTAAATGACATTGAAATATTATACATTTTCATTAGGAAAAAAGAGCAATGATTTTTTTCGCAGCAATGAAGAGCTGGTGGAAATAGTTAAACTACATATTTAAAAATTTTTTTTCTAAAGTTTTCAGATACAAATCGTCTAAGATAGTCCCTATACTAGACATTATGTTTTATAAGTCTTCGAAATATATATAGTTTTTCCGGAATGTTGATTATATTTACGATATTTAGACACAGATTTTACTGTTTCTAAATAGATAAATTTTCAAGAACATGTCGTAAAAACTTACGAAGAGTTTTTGATTTTAAGTACAGAGAAAAATTGTCGAAAACATTTCAGATTGAATAATATAAGGTAATTCAAGAGAATATCAGGGTTCTCTTTTTATACCCTTCACCTTCATAAGTAGGGTATACATATACATATAT